CTAATGTGGCATAGTCATATGAGTTACATTGTAATTTGAATTTGCAAAACTTCAAAAAAATATAAGGATCCTAGTCAAATTAGATGGAACCAAACTAAATGATGAAATATACTTATGCAGCATACTGACACTTGGGGCCAACATGAATCAAGCCTAGTATGATTCACCGGGCTAAGGGCAAAGACACCAAACTACGAAATGGGTTGAAGGAAAGCGCGCGAAGGAGAAAACATTCAAGCCATCTACGCGGCAAAGTCCAAAACAGAAGTGCGCGTGGGGTAAAACATTCAAGTTGTCGACGCGCGGAGTTAAATCTTTTCGACCCATTTAACTCCACAGCCCACGATCCTATTGGCCACAGCCTCGCGCGTCTCCCCCGACCGCGAAAACCCTATCCACCTCCACCCAGAGTCGCTGACTCCTCTCCCTCTCACCTCCTGATTCAGGTCCATGTCCAGCCTCCCTCCATGCGCGGCTGCCGATCTCCAGCGCCGCCGCGCCAACCATCTCCCGCTCCACCTCTGTCTCCCACCCTCTCTCGCTCTGTCACCACCCCCACCCTCTCCGGCTCCCCCTGTGTAGCCTCCTCCGTTCCGCGATGGGGCGGCCATAGCGGCGCTCCTAGATCTATGTCAAGGGCAGCCCCCTGCTCGTCGTCATGGGCGCGGTGGTCATGAGGAAAGTGGTTGAGGACGGCGAGATGGAAGTTGTAGCCTACCCGCTGCCCAGGACAAGGACGGCTACCCTGACGCTCCCCCTTCTTCACAATCTCGCGCTGGGAGAGGAGGGGGTGGCCACTGTTTTCTTCTGCACTCCTCGGCCTTATCCACATCGCCACAGGTGACCTCGCCAGACCACTCGCTGTGAAGGTGATAACCCCTTTCACTCTCCATTAATTGAAAAATTATCCATTTAGGATGTCAGGATAGTGCTTTGAAGTGAAATAACTTTTGTGGCTGGGAATAATTGTTTTGGAAAGATAGCAAGATGATGTATTATGTTTCATATTTTCCATAAATGTTGATGCGACTGATATTTTGTAATGTAGAGATTTATATTTACATACTTTCTTCATCAACATGTACGTCTAATAAATATACGCGGGGTGCTTACATAGTTTCTGAGGTCGTGCTGTGTTTATGTGTGTCAATTTAGTTTACAGATACATCATTGAGATGGATAAAAGTATGATGTAGAGTATATATGAAACTGAAAAGATGGGATGCTTAAATCTGGAATAAATTGTGGAGGGAATCCTATGCAGGAGAAACTATAGTGGATGCTTCTACTAAATCAGAAGTTTATTTGTTTTCTCCATGGAATAGTTTGACTAAAGTTCTAATTATTATTTTGTAGGTGGAGGAGATAGCTGAAGTCGAGGGTGTTGTTGATGACATAAAAGGTGTTTATAAAATAGAGCCTTGTGAAGAACAAAGGATACAATACCGAAAGGTCAATCGAAACTAATTCTGTAGTACAAAATAATTAGCTAGCACTAACAACTATGCACCCTTCTTTGTCCTGATGTTCCTATCCTTGAAGGATGTTGCCTCACACATGACAGTAGTTGCACGGCCTATGAACGATGTTCCCTCCCAACAACGCCTTTGTGTGCATCCTCGCTGTTGGCGCTGTCATGGCAGAATCATGCAAGCATCGGCCATGGAGGTGTCATGTGTATAGCAGTGTTGATCCTTAAATATCTTTGTTGTGCTTTTTGTATCGTCTTAGTGTGTGTGCGCTTGTTTCCATTTTTTACTTAATTTATTGCTTGCTGCAACACCTAGTTCCTCCTAGTTTGATAGAGTTGTTTGTTTTGTTCACGGTGGATGCATGCTATGTAAAATCTCAAATGGTGTTTTTATAGTTACATGTCTATTTTGACAAAATGCTGATTACTGACATTTACTCTGCATACCAATTACTTTCTACCATTCCTGATTATTCTCTACTGCTCTGTACATTTTTATATGAGAAAACACCACCCACTCTGTACTCTACCAATCAGTTTTCTGGGTTGCTTGGAAGAAAAGAACCATTACTTGAAAACTAGCTATGACATAGACTAGATCATTTAAGCTTGGTTGATAGATAAAATTCGGTTCATGTGCTGGGACAAGTGTACATTTTTTGTTCAGTGAAGAGTGTGTTTGTGTTGTCGGTGGCGACCTCCTCTGCCGCACGCCGGCGGTGGCCGACTTGCACTGTGACCCTGGCCATTGAGATGAACCTGATCCTGGTCCATGGTTAGTTAGGGTATTGGTGCTGTTTGGGCTCGATTAGCTCGATTTGATGTTGTTTTAGGCTTGAGAAAAGTTGTTCTCTTGTTGAAATGAGAGGGATAAGGTAGGTACTACAGCTGTTGGCAATCGTGTACATGCAATGGTAGGCAACCAGAGAATGTGTTGCATTTGTATGTCCTCATGTTTAAAATTTGTGTCTGGAAGTTATTACTGGATCTACTATCCCAATAATTTTTTATTTCCTAAATCTCATGGTAAATCTGGAAGTTGCATTGCATATATGTGTATTGCACCATACTAGTAAACTTCTAAAAGCAAGTGGAGCTCAACCTTTATAATGCACTCTGCATTCTGCAGATTATGCCATACTTATTTGCATGTCATGCTATATGAACAAGCACTGTGGTTGTGATTGTTATGCTGGGAACGATGTTCCTCATGGTCCCAATAATGTTGTTAGTATGGAAGAGGCACAGGATCCTTGTTGTCACATTCCTTGAGCTCTCGTTGATGGAGGATAAATGGAAATAAGTGATCATCTAGTGGAGACAGAGTAAGTTACAACCTCTTTGCTCTTCCTGTTCGTAATAAGAAGGAATCCTTACTCTAGTGTCACATTTACTTGTAGCTTTTAAATTGTTGATACACAATATATATGATGCTTCCATGCTTTTCTAGTTTTTTGCGATATTGTTTTTCTCTATATTGCACCCAGAACTGAATGTTTGATTGTATCAGGCAGGTAACATTGTGAGTAGGCCTTCTGGCCTGTTTACTTTTTGATTGGATCAGGCGTTCATGTAAACATGATAGCTCCAACTCTTGTTTCAAGAATGAGTAGTTCGCCGAAACTACATGTTAGTAAATAGGGGTTACTTCTCAAATCTGAGAAATTTAAAACCAATCCTCATTGCTGACTGGCGGTGTAAATACAGTAATAGTATATGAAGATGAACTTGGCAAAAACTCAGCTTTTACCTTCGGAATATAGGTATAGAATTTCCAGGTCTAATCTGAAATGTCAATTAGGAAATGCTGAGCATTATCTTTGACCTTTCAAACCAACAACCTACTATATGGACAAACACAAATCATACTACTGTCCTTTCTTTAGAAATGTTGAGCATTATTTTGTTAGTGGGTTTATATGGCCTCAACTTCTGCTGCTATAGTACTTGAGTTTTGTGATGTGTTTGTTAGTCATTTGACTTTCATTCGGCACACTTCTCTCTGGTGACCGCTTCCTCTCTGAATCTTTAACCCTAAATTTTCTCTAAATTTCTTCTGTATCTTGTACACTGCAGGATAACAAGTACAGACAAACTGCAGGGTACCAAGTAGAGACAAACTGCTACACTGTGGTATGTGGCCTTCTATCAAGATCTGATTCAGTTTAGATTCCCCCCTAGGTCTTGGAGACATGATTTCTGTTATTATATTAATGTGTCAACATGTTCTATTTAGAGTTTTCTCCCTAGGCATTTCTTTTTCTATCCTTGTACATTGTGGCAGTCCTACACTAAGAATACAGAGGTTTAAACCTGTTTATTTGTGTGCTATGCACATGTATTAGTCAGTCAATTTATTGTTGTTTTATACTAGATACTTTGTAATTCTCATCTGTAGGCATTTCTCCTACTATATATTCATATATACAAATGTCTAATGTTGTTGTGAGTATGGTAGGTATGTTGCTGTCCATCAGAATCCGCCATGCCATATAGTTGCCATCAGGAGCTTTGACGACAAGAACACGAGTGACAACCTTGGTAGTTATATGTTTTGTCGATGTAAATTGGATTGTACCAGTTCCTAATCCTATGGATGGTTGCAAATTGAGTGATTTTGTCAACATATGGTGTATATTATCATTTCATGGAGGATATTATAAACTGCTAGGTTCTACATACCTATAGATGGTTGCATATTGAGTGATTTGTGTAACATATGGTACTTTGGAAATATTGTCCTCGTCCAAAATTGGCATTATGATTTACGGAACACATTATGCTAAAGGCGTATTTGATCAAAATTGGGCTGAATGAAATGGATGTGACCAAATTTAAATTGATCCTAGATCCATGACGGTTTCTGTGAGGAAAAATAGTGTCCACGTAGGTAGCCACGTGGCATTGGTCCATGACGAACTATTCCGTCACGACCTAGTTTGGGCTTGGGCGGGCCGGAGGCAATTCCATGACGGCCAAGAACCGTCATGGGAGCTATGATGTCAAATTATGACGCGAAATACATGATTGATCTCAAGTCTGTCAAGGATGGACACGCATGACAGTTTTTACGCGAAATACATGATTGATCTCAAGTCTGTCAAGGATGGACACGCATGACAGTTTTTGGCTGATCTGTGATGGCTAAGGACTGTCATGTATTAACATATTTCTTGTAGTCATGTAATTCTCTCGTTTTCCTCTTCGCCTTGGTCGTGGTGCACAATATTGAGTACGTATATGACTAGCCGTTGTATCTACATGCGGGACATCAAAGCATCTGGGCCAGCGTGCCATCCACGAAATCACAGCGAGGTGCCACATTTGAGACTCACCGGTCACCCCCGGTGTGGCCATCATGACCCGTCATATCAAAAAACCCACACCTTTACCAGCAGTGGTAAAGTGCCCTGGAAGTGGCCTCGAAGTTGGACTGGACGAAGCAACCATCATTTCACTGGAACACTCGTTGAAGCCCTTCCTCCCATTCTTTAAGAACTAGCAAGATGCCCGTGCAGTGCACGGAACATCAAGATCTTGTGGGAGAAAAGGATGAATGAGGGAAGGCCTTATCTACAAATGTGGAGAGGAGTGCGGGTAAATTGTCATAGTTTCCTTCTTATCCGTTGGATATAGATCGGACGGCCTATATTGCAGGATGGTAGGCACACCATCATCACCAACTCTGCTTTTTATAAGTGTAGAGAGTAGAGAAAACCTCACTCTAGGCTACTCACTTCTGCCATTTTTCTTCTGTACCGACAAAGGAAAGGTGGGTGAATCAGTGATGCTACTATATTCTCATTCCAAGAATCTTCTTTTTTGCGAAGCACCGTCTGATTCTCACAGCCTATTCTTTTCCCGTTTTCCTTGTGATCGTGGTTTCCTTTCGATTGCTTTTTGTTTGTCAGTTCATTGATGGATCCTGGAGCACAAGGCAAGGAGTTGCTGGCGGACAACCCACTAGAGACAACGATCTCTAGGAAGCAACTACCGACCAACAAGTTGACCATGTTGGCGGGCCAACCCATGGAGACAAAGAACTCCAAGAAACAAGCATTGGCCAAAGAGTTGACGATGTTTGTGCATGAACTACTCAAAGAAAGTTGGAAGAAAGCAAGGGCCCCACCGTGCCTAACCCAGAAACTCCAATGGCCTCCTATGCGAGGTTGAAGGCCGAATTTGAGGAGATAGTCGCTGTTGAGAAGCAGTATTCCCCTGGCAAGGTGATGGCCCCCATCGAGGATGAGGAGATGGCCCTCGGAGGGATGGGATCCCCCGGTGAGCTGGACAAGGTAAAAAATAATGGCTTACCATAGTTGTGGTTTTTCACTATTTGCAATGTGCTTGCTAATATGTTAGGGTTGTGCAGGTGCTGGTGGACATCCTTGATGTTTCCGACATCACGACCCGTCATGTGGACAACGCCCTAGAGATCATTTTCGATGTCGAGGTCCATCCTGTGGACATCGCCCCGGAGATCGATTTCGATGCTGCTATCCATCTTGTGGACATCGCCCCAGAGATCGATTCCAATATCACGGTCCATCCTGTGGACATTGCCCCAGAGATCGATTCCCATGCCGCTGTCCATGCTGTGGTCATTGCCCGAGAGATCGATGACAAGAAATAGTTGGTCGCGCTAATCCTTCAGGGTAGTTTGCATTGTGTTTAATTACTAGAACGATGCGTGTTATCAAACCATCTTAGGGCTAGTGCACTATCTTGTGTGCGCAGTACTTCCTACTTTTGTTTGATAGTGAATCATGCAAACCCTCTCCGAGTTATGGAAACAGATGTATCCTCACCAGTTTTCGAGGTAATATATGGCATGCTTAGATGTAAGTTTGAACTGTTTATCATATCAGCAGGGCCTGTTTGATGATTCTTGATGTTAGTAGGCTAGCTACTATGCGAGCTATAGTACTTGCAAAACACTCACCAAAGAGAAACGTTGGGGTTGATGAGCTCGTGGTACGCTTATAGGTATGATCCGTCGTCGATCGGCCAATAGCCCAAGCTCCTAAAATTGTAGGCTTAGCGATGGATCAGAAAATAGTCGACACAGATACATTTCATGCCTCATTTGGTTCATAGGATAGGAAAATCATAGCAAAAGTACAAAGAAGTGTTATAGTGGGTTTGGCCTAGTGGGTTTCAGTGATATGACGTCGTATAGTGTCATCCAATCTTCGCGTGTGGTAGCAGTATTGCGGCTACAGTAAGTTTTCTTGAAGAAGCGGAATTCAACGAAGTTATGTTGGTTCCTTCATCCGACCAACTTATAGTGGGAAAGGTTGGGCCTGTGCTACAACCGGGGTGGACCAGGATAATTTTGTGCATGGCAGGCGGACCAGCAATGAGTATTCATTGTTTATTTTTGATGAAAGCTATTGTCTCCACTGTTACGACGGAGGAGTGTGAAACACGGCAGCCCAGTGAACTTGGCATGTGCACCACTCCCTCCTTCCTCATGTAATACTACCATAGTGTTGACTATAAGGTTGGATACAAGGTTACAACTTTTTCTCAGTTTCTCTCTATCTATTTCCTCTCAAATGTTTTTTACCTTTCTTTTTTTAGACACAATTGTTTTTATGCCTCTTTTTTTAGAATTAGTTTTTTTATACCTATGAGCACGTGTAGAGAAGGGCTCTTGCAGAGCCCACTCCTTGACTTTGTCAATGCCTCGCTCTCCTCCACATAAGCGGGCTTATGGCCCAGTATTTTACTAGTAATACATGCTATGAATGCCGGCAGCTGGCGTCTGAGAGCGAAGCGCGAGCGGGAGGGGGGAGTGGTTCTTTGGTGGGGCAGGGCGGTGAGAAGCGGGCTTGGAAGCGGTCCGGTCTCCCGCATGGCCCACCTCACATTATCACCATATATTTCTTGGGGTCCATGCGCGGCAGTCGGGCGATCTCTTCTCCCTCCATCGTCTCTCTCTTCTCAGCCGACGCCCACTGAGCGATTAGAGTTCGTCTATCAACGGTTTATTCAATTGCAGTCCCACATGTCAGTGAAAATGCAAGACAACGCGTGTCCCCTCTGGTGAGCAGCATGCGAGCTGGACTGTCAGGGGTGCAACGCGAACGCGGCGCGTACGAGTCATAAGTGTGCCACCTTTTCCTTTTGAACTTGCAAAGCGTAACATTTTCGTGCGATAGATCGATAGAAATCCAGAACAAAATGACGAGGGAGGGGCTTTCCCGTGCGTTAGGTGGGCTAGTTTGAGTGATATGACGTGCTACAGTGCCATCCACTTGCCCAATTTTTATGTAAGAAAGAGTCTACACTCTTACGTGGGAGGAGTGTGAAACATGGCGGGTCTGATTTTGATTAAGGGATAACTGTTCCTGCAAAATAATGGAGCATTGTTAGTGATTATAGCATGATAGTTAGGGCATCTCCAGCGCTGGCACAAAAATTTACACCAGCATCTGTCCGAGGACACTTATGCCAGAGGACGGCATACAATGCTACCCGCATACCTTTCGACAACTATATGAACTAACCGAACAAAATTCATGCAAACAAAGCAAATTTCAAATTAACCGGATGAAATTCATTACATTTTGAAAACATTTCCTATAAACTGGATGAAATTCATTACATATTTCTCAAAAACCATACTAAAACCTACTGTAAACCTAATCTAAATGATCGTCGGCGCCCGACCACCATGTCCGTCCATAAACCCCGAGAAAGCCGGCCATTGCCTTTGCCTCCTCCTCATCCGCCTCAATAACCTCCTCCTCCAGAGCACAAGGTTCTGAAGATTTACGCCTCCACGTCGTCGTCAAGCGGCTAATCGTCCGCCAATCTTTATCCCACCAAGCTTGGCATCGACTGAGTGGAGGAGCGGTGGCCTAGCTGCGACTAGAACGGCGGTGACCTACCGTGTACTGCTCATCCTCGCTGCCGACTGCGCCCGCGCACAAGCGCTGGCTTCATGGTCGTGGCGGTGGAGGGTGGCCAGGGGGGAGCCGGCGATCTCCTTCGTCTGATCCAGCGATAGTACATCCAAGAGAGCTTTGGAGAGCGCCCGGAGTGGAGCCGCCGATGTCCTTCAGCTGCTCCTGTCACAGTATGTCCAAGAGAGCTTTGAAGCGCTAGGAGGCCATGCTTGGAGTTGTGCCGACAGAAGGAAGGGACCGGAGGAGAATGAGTGTGGGTCTTTGGCTATGACTGGGAGTTGGGCCCAAGTTAATATAGCGGGTGAATGGCAATGAGCCACGGCAGATGGATGGACGGCTAGCACCGGATTAGGTTCGGTGGTAGCCGCATGTCATTAATGTGGGCGGCGGACGGAAGGATGGCCGTGCTGTCGTTAACGCGGAGTAGTCACTTGCACCGGGATGCTGCACGGGTGGCGCTCTCTCGGCCGTTGCGCTGTTGCAATGCCGACGCCAGTGAGAGTCGCATGAGGCGTGAATGCGGACGCTGCTTCAGTGACTTAACTACAGGTGCGTTGGGTCAGTGACATGTGGGCCCAACGGGCATCTGGCCCGCATGTCAGATTAACAACTGCACCAACAGTTAAGTCTGGTGAATGCGGCATTGACGCTCTGGAGAGACGGTGACCATTTCAGGTGGGAAGCACGCGCTAGCGATGGAAGGGGTTTCGTTA